TGTGTATGTGTGTGAGTGAGTGTGTGAGTGTGTGTGTGTGAGTGAGTGTGAGTGTGAGTGAGTGTTTGTGTATGTGAGTGTGTGTGTGAGTGAGTGGATGTTTGTGTATGTGTGTGAGTGAGTGCGTGTGTGTGTGTGAGTGTGTGTGAGTATATATGAGTGTGTGTGTATGTGAGTGTGTGAGTGAGTGTGTGGTGAGTGTGTGAGTGAGTGTGTGAGTGATTGGATGTTTGTGTATGTGTGTGAGTGAGTGAGTGTGTGTGAGTGTGTGAGTGAGTGTGTGAGTGAGTGTGTGTGTGAGTGAGTGTGAGTGTATGTGAGTGTGTGTGTGAGTGAGTGTGTGTGTGAGTGTTTGTGTATGTGAGTGTGTGTGTGAGTGTGTGAGTGAGTGAGTGGATGTCTGTGTATGTGTGTGAGTGTGTGTGAGTGAGTGTGTGTGTGAGAGTGTGTGAGTGTGTGTGTGAGTGTGTGTGTGTGTGTGTGAGTGTATGTAAGTGTGTGTGTGTGAGTGTGTATGTGAGTGTGAGTGAGTGTGTGTGTGAGTGAGTGTGAGTGTGTGTGTGTGTGACAGTGTATGTGTTTGTGTATGTGAGTGAATGTGTGTATGTGTGAGTGTGTGTGAGTGAGTGTGTATGTGAGTGTGTGTGAGTGAGTGTGTGTGTGTGAGAGTATATGTGTTTGTGTATGTGAGTGAATGTGTGTGTGTGAGTGTGTGTGTATGTGAGTGTGTGTGAGTGAGTGTGAGTGTGTGAGTGTGTGTGAGTGAGTGTGTGAGAGTATGTGAGTGAGTGTATGTTTGTGTATGTGAGTGAGTGTGTGTGAGTGAGTGTGTATGTGAGTGTGTGTGAATGAGTGTGTGTGTGAGAGTATATGTGTTTGTGTATGTGAGTGAATGTGTGTGTGTGTGAGTGTGTGTGAGTGTGTATGTGAGTGTGTGTGTGAGTGTGTGTGTGTATGTGTGTGAGTGAGTGTGTGTATGTGTGAGTGTGTGTGAGTGAGTGTGTGAGAGTATGTGAGTGTATGTTTGTGTATGTGAGTGAGTGTGTGTGTATGTGTGTGAGTGTGTGTGTGTGTGAGTGAGTGGATGTTTGTGTATGTGTGTGAGTGAGTGTGTGTGTGTGTGTGGTGTGTGTGAGTGAGTGTGTGTGAGTGAGTGTGTGTGTGAGTGGATGTTTGTGTATGTGTGTGAGTGAGTGTGTGCGAGTGAGTGTGTGTGTGTGTGTGTGAGTGAGTGTGTGTGTGTGAGTGTGTGTATATGAGTGAGTGAGTGAGTGTGTATGTGAGTGAGTGTATGTTTGTGTGTGAGTGTGTGTATGTGAGTGAGTGAGTGTGTGAGTGTGTGAGTGAGTGTGAGTGTGTGAGTGAGTGAGTGTGTGTTTGTGTGTGAGTGTGTGTATGTGAGTGAGTGAGTGAGTGAGTGAGTGTGTGAGTGAGTGTGAGTGTGTGAGTGAGTGGATGTTTGTGTGTGAGTGAGTGTGTGAGTGAGTGTGTGTGTGAGTGAGTGTGTGAGTGAGTGTGAGTGTGTGAGTGGATGTTTGTGTGTGAGTGAGTGTGTGAGTGAGTGAGTGTGTGTATGTGAGTGAGTGTGTGTGTGTATGTGAGTGAGTGAGTGTGTATGTGTGTCTCAAGACCTTTCTCTTTGACCGTGCCTTCAGCTCCCCTCTCGACTCTTCCTCCCCCCCCCCCCCCCCTCACCATTTCCCCCCCTCTCCCCCCCCCTCCCCTCACCTGACATTTCCCCCTGCTCGGGTCATGACCCAACTGTGCAGCGCCTGGGACGTCTCCTGACGTGAAAGGCGCTCTATAAATGGAATCTTGTTGTTGTTGTTGTGAGTGTGTGTGAGTGTGAGTGCGCACATATAACCTCCAGACTGTCACACCTGGTGATGTGGCGGATGAGGGACAAATGCAATCACAAGAAAATACCGGAATTTGCCCGAGTTTGTTCCGAGTCGATGTGCACTGCTACCGAACAGCCTCCACCCCCCGGGGAGCAGAGCAGGGACTGGGAGCCCCCCCCACCCCCACCCCACCCCACCCCACCCCACCCCCCACCCCCACCCCCCGGGGAGCAGAGCAGGGACTGGGAGCCCCCCACCCCCACCCCCCCCCACCCCCCACCCCCACCCCCACCCCCACCCCACCCCCCGGGGAGCAGAGCAGGGACTGGGAGCCCCCCACCCCCACCCCCCCCCCCCACCCCCCGGGAGCAGAGCAGGGACTGGGAGCCCCCCCCACCCCCCACCCCCCCACCCCCGGGGAGCAGAGCAGGGACTGGGAGCCCCCCCACCCCCCGGGGCACAGAGCAGGGACTGGGAGCCCCCCCACCCCCCCCCCCCCCCCCCCCCGGGGCACAGAGCAGGGACTGGGAGCCCCCCCCACCCCCACCCCCCCCACCCCCCGGGGCACAGAGCAGGGACTGGGAGCCCCCCACCCCCCCACCCCCCCGGGGCACAGAGCAGGGACTGGGAGCCCCCCCCACCCCCCCACCCCACCCCCCGGGGCACAGAGCAGGGACTGGGAGCCCCCCACCCCACCCCCCGGGGCACAGAGCAGGGACTGGGAGCCCCCCCACCCCCACCCCCCCCACCCCCGGGGCACAGAGCAGGGACTGGGAGCCCCCCCCACCCCCACCCCGGGGCACAGAGCAGGGACTGGGAGCCCCCCCACCCCACCCCCCCCCCCCCCGGGGCACAGAGCAGGGACTGGGAGCCCCCCCCCCACCCCCCCCCCCCCGGGCGCAGAGCAGGGACTGGGAGCCCCCCCACCCCCACCCCCCGGGGCACAGAGCAGGGACTGGGAGCCCCCCCCACCCCCACCCCCCCCCCCCGGGGCACAGAGCAGGGACTGGGAGCCCCCCCCCCCCCCCCCCCCCCGGGGCACAGAGCAGGGACTGGGAGCCCCCCCACCCCCCACCCCCCGGGGCACAGAGCAGGGACTGGGAGCCCCCCCACCCCCCCCCCGGGGCACAGAGCAGGGACTGGGAGCCCCCCCACCCCCCCGGGGCGCAGGGCAGGGACTGGGAGCTGCTGGTGCTGCTGGTGCTGCTGCTGGTGGTGTCTCCGCGGTTACCGGAGCAGCCGACAGCGGAGCAACACAGCAGGAGAGGGGGAGAGAGAGAGAGAGAGAGAGGGCAAAGAGCTCTGCAAAAGGGCCACGAGTCGGGGGGGGACCAGAGCAGAGGTGGTTGCGGTGGAGAGACAGAGAGAGGAGGACATGTGTGTGTGAGAGAGAGAGTGATAGACACTCACTCACTGTCTGTCTGTCTGTCACTCGCTCCTCACTGCCAAATCACCAACTTGCTGAGCTGAGCTGAGCTGCACTCACTGTGGGGGCTGGTGCTGCTGCTGCTGCTGCTGCTGGTGGTGGTGCTGGTGGTGTCGGTGCTGGTGGTGTCGGTGTCGGTGCTGGTGCTGGTGTGCGGTGGTGTCGGTGGTGGTGTCGGTGCTGGTGCTGGTGGTGTCGGTGGTGTCGGTGCTGGTGCTGGTGGTGTTGCGGTGGTGTCGGTGGTATCGGTGCTGGTGCTGGTAGTGCCGGTGGTGTCGGTGCTGGTGGTGTCGGTGCTGTCGCTGGTGGTGTCGGTGGTGTCGGTGCTGGTGCTGGTGGTGTCGGTGTCGGTGCTGGTGGTGTCGGTGTCGGTGCTGGTGGTGTCTGTGCTGGTGGTGTCGGTGGTGTCGGTGCTGGTGGTGTCTGTGCTGGTGGTGGTGGTGTCGGTGGTGTCGGTGCTGGTGGTGTTGCTGTTGCTGGTAGTGTCGGTGGTGTCGGTGCTGGTGGTGTCGGTGCTGGTGCTGGTGGTGTCGGTGCTGGTGCTGGTAGTGTCGGTGGTGGTGTCGCTGGTGGTGTCGGTGCTGTCGCTGGTGGTGTCGGTGCTGTCGCTGGTGGTGTCGGTGGTGTCGGTGCTGTCGCTGGTGGTGTCGGTGGTGTCGGTGGTGTCGGTGCTGTTGCCGGTGGTGTCGGTGCTGTCGCTGGTGGTGTCGGTGGTGTCGGTGCTGTCGCTGGTGGTGTCGGTGGTGGTGTCGGTGCTGTCGCTGGTGGTGTCGGTGGTGGTGGTGTCGCCGTCTTTCCAAACCCAGGAGACGATTGCGAAAGATTTCACGCGTTGAAACATCGCACAGTCCGGAGTGGGGAGCGCTGGGGTAAGGCTGGGATTGTTTCCACGTAACTTTCTGTGGTTGTTGCACATCAACAAACTGAATACCATCTCTTTCTCTCTCTCTCTCTCTCTCTGTCCCTCTCTGTCTCTCTGTGTTTAATAATCTACACAATCTGAACTGCATTATTGCACAGGGACTGGATTGACACTAAATGGCTGGTCTGGACCCCGGGGGCAGGTCAAACAACCAGAGACTGATATAATAATATATAATAATGCTGTTAAATATATATATATTATATATATAGAAAGCCTTGCCTCGCTATTGTGGATTTAGCTGTCTGTGGTTGTGGTGTTTGTGGTATATTGTGGCTCAGTTATGAATGTAAACCATTGGCACAATTTTCAGACAAACCATCAACGCAGTGTAAGTATATATACATATATATTTTAAAAAAACACATAAATCATTTGCAAGATCATTGATTCAATGGTATAAAATATTGTCAAGTGTCTGAGAGCATATGATACACACACACACACACACACACAGTGAGATGTGGTATTAAAGGGCGCTATTGTTCCTGTTTCACAGATTCCTGAGGGGGGAAAAAAAGCCCAACTCCCTGAACTTGTCTGGTCCCAGGGATTAGTTCCTAACGCATTTGACTTGAGGGGGATATGCTTCAGAGTGTCAGCCTTGCACCTGTCTCCTCGGCAAAGGCATGGGCTTCAGGAGGTGATGCTGCACGTTGCCAGGGGTGGAAGGTTTGGGCTGATCAGGGCATGTGGAAGAGGCACTGACTGTGCCATGGCCCCCCAGCTCTGAGAGAGGAGGAGAGAGTGAGAGAGTGAGTGTGTGAGAGAGAGAGAGAGAGTGAGTGTGTGAGAGAGTGAGTGTGTGAGAGAGTGAGTGAGTGTGTGAGAGAGTGGCTGGAGAGTGAGTCAAGCCTGGTCCCCCAGGCTCTCTGCCTGGCCAGTCCCCACGTTTGATGTGATCTGATTGAATCTGGACCTGAGCTGAGCTGAGCTGAGCTGACCTGGCCTCTCCTCTCCTCTCCTCGCCTGGATGCAGTGATGGGTTGCTTCTGCGCTGCACAGGAAGAATTTTATTGCGAAGTTTTGCTTTTGGATGAGACCAAGCTGACACTGACCACCCAGCAGCAAGGGATAAAAGTGAGTCAATACCGTGCTACTCAAACCATCTCAGCACTTGTCGGTATACTCTGACACACTAATGCATCCCAGTTTGCTTATTTATAACATGCTGAGTTCATCTTTGTAATCATTTTGGTTTGCCATATGAATTCGTTTAATTTTATTCATGCCTATATATATATATATATCCAACGTGTATGTTTGAGATGAGTTTGAATGTAATATTAAGGCAGCATTGCTGAAAGGGACAACATTTAAATCCTGTTTGTACTGTAATAGATATCATGAAGTAGGAGTCAGCACTGCTTTCAGTTTTTTTCTTGATGTGATCATTGGAAAATATGGATTTCGATTGAAACGTTTATTTTTTTGTTAAAGACACAAGAGTTTACATCTAAAGTTCACCACTTACAGTCTTTTTTTCTCTCGATTTCGTCAGCAACCAGCATTGCCCAGTGCTCCATGACTATTGGGTTGATTTATTCATTTTATTCATCTCTTTTCACCTACCATCCCCCCCTCCCCCATCTGCTGTTTTATTGGATGGATGTGCAGTGTACATCCTGACAGCACTGAATACATCTCAATCGCTTCATTTTCTGACGATCAATATTTCCACAAGAACATTATTGGATTATAATTATATCACCATAGGTCTGTTTGCAGTGGACTCATGTTGGGGAACACACACACTGTAAGACTTCCCTCCTCTGAACTCCAATGCCATTAATAGTCACACACACACACACACAACTGGTTTCCCTGGCAATGGGCTACATGCAGATATGTCAGGATCAGAACTAGTATGAATGCAGAGTAACTGGGTGCCTGGTCTGATACTGGATTAAGCTTGTTGATTTCTTGTTAGCACAAGATACCAGTGTGGTGACCTGAAGTCACCATGGTGATGGGTCTGCACTCCATTTCTCTGCTATTAGATTTCAAAGATCCGCAGTTGTGTAAAGCGCAAACCCAAACCAAAACCAGAGTGAGCGGATTAGAGTCGTTAAGCATGGTGATGGTAATATGTTACTGGTTAGTACCACTATTGTGGTGTTGCTATTCATGAATGTTAGGAATCATAATATAATAATAATCCTTGCATTTGATATAGTGCCTTATGATATCTTCGAGGCATTTCAAAGTGCTTCACAGAATATACTGTAAAGTGAATCGACTGTATATTTTGTGAATGGAATGTGGCAGCCAATTGCACACAGCAATGTCCCACAAACAGTCGTGGATTGAGTGACCACATTTTTATAATTTTAATTTTTTTTAAAAGGATTATTACCTCCGGAAAAGCGATCTCACAAGCCATCCGGTGAGTGAGTGTGAACAGGCAGTTGTGTACTTGCCAAGTGCCGCACAATTGTAATCTTGGGGTCCTCACACTCAGTGAAAACAATACTGTTGGCACAATGCAGCATTTTAATGCAATGGATAATACAGTTTAATCAGATTCTGGAGGCACAATTTAGATTCTAGATTAAATTGTTTCAGATTTACTCTGTAAATTAGAAAATGCCCATCAGTGTTAGAGATGCAAGAAATTGCAAAAGATTGTTTATTGATTTAAAGCTACAGTGCCCCGCCTGGATAGCTGTGGGCAATATCCATGCATTATATCATTACAGAACATCCCCCCACTTACATGGACAGGGAATTAATGTTCCCTATCTAGATAAATCAGTCACAAGGTTAACGAATAACGACACAAAATCTGGGTGACTTTCCAAATAGTCTTTCTTTCTCTCTCTTAAAGAAGTGACTATCCTTCTTGAAGGGAGGTAAGTGGGCTCTCCCTGTAGCTGAACTGGCTCCAAGGTAACATGCTTGGCAATAGAATGTCCTAATCGAGCCAACCCTCGGTACTAATCTCGGCAGTCCAACTCCTGAACCAGGTGGGTGTGCAGTGTTCCAAATGCTGCTGTTAACAGACCAGTTCAGCCCGGAGGGGAAGACTTGTTAATGGAAGCAGAGATTTTGCCCACTCAGCTGCTATTAACCCTAATAATAATAATAATAATCCTTGCATTTGATATAGCGCTTTTCACGTCGGGAGGACGTCCCAAAGCGCTTCACAGAACACACTGTAAAGTGAATTGACTATATTTGTGGGCGAACGCGGCAGCCAATTGTGCACAGCAATGTCCCACAAACAGTCGTAGATTGAAAATGACCAATTTATTATTGTTTTTTTTTATGGAGGGATTATTATTAGGCTCTGTGTGGAGTAAGGAAACTTGTCCAAGGTTTCGCCCTGCCTGGAATTGAACTCAGTTCTCTCGCTTGCAAAGCGAGTGCTCTAACCACTGAGCTACAGGACTCCACTGCAAGATAATGGCTTACGAGGTAGGGTGGTCCTAGCTGAACAAGCAGCAGGAAAGCTTGCCAGATAATGATATCAATGGCAAACTATGCAGTTTTAGTTGGTTACACTCTAGCAGTGCCCCAACGCCCACTGTGGGATCCTTAAGATGTGACTCTTGCCAAACTAATATCCCAGAGTTAGGTAAGGTAGATGCATCCTTTCAGGGAACGATTGTGCATTCCATTCAAGACATAAGGAAATCTCTATGTCTCGGTGGCATAGATCTGTGTAACTCTCAATGTATCTCGGATACTCTTAAGCATGGTAATGGGTTTCCAGACAACTGGTTGACCAAAACGAAATCCTGAAGAAGGTCCAGTCTGTGTTCACCATCTTCATTTGAATGCATGACTGAGGTTAGGAACTTTTGGGGAGTCAACAAACCAAAATTCTACTGTGCTCCAGCACAATAGTAGGAACAGCATTTTGTACCCTATATACATTAAAGATAAATTTAGTTGATAGCCCACATTATTTTTAACAGTATCAATAAATAGTGACGAGTAAAATTACACTAGCAAATTAAAAAAAACTTAAAACACAAACTTATTTCTGTTTGATTAGATCCATAGTCTCAAATTTATTTTAGTTAAGAAAATAATCCTGCCCTGAGAAACATATTTGATTCCTTATATAAAAAATACATGACTTTGATGTCTTCCTAATACTGAGATGTGAGCTGTTCAAATGGTCTTGATCTGAAACAACCATCCTAGCAGTTATTGTAAAGCTATTACTATTCATGTTAAGGCAATCTCTTTTAGAGATCTACCACTATCTTATGACTTTAGGACAATAAATCTTTTCTAATTTCAATATTTAGTAAGAGTGGTTTCTTTACAGCTTGAACTCATCTTTACAGCACAGTCCTGCTGGACGATTAGAAAACAACAACAACATTACATTTGTGTAGCATCTTTCACGTCGGGAGGAGGACGTCCCAAGGCGCTAGGGAGTCAGTGTTTTGGACAGTAATTAGGATGACAAATGATCTGGAGTGTGTTACATGTATTGAGAAGATACTAATGACTCTTGCATTTGACATAATGCCTTTGACCTAAGGAGGATGTCTCAAAGACCTTCATAAGATTTACTGTAAAGTGATTGTGTATTTGGAGGCCTGAATGTTGAATCCTATCAATCTCTCTTATGCATACCACCTCACAACACAGCAACATGGTATCATCAGCAAATGTCATAATATTGCAATAAGTACTCTTCTCTGTGTTATTTATAAATAGCATGAGCAGTGAGAGAGCCAAAAAGGATCCCTGTTGAACTCGCCACCCCAAACTGGATATGTTCTATTTGTTGGCACCTTCTTCTTTCTATTGTTAATTAGTTAATTGGTTAATTCCTGAGCATTCCTCTTAAGACTCACATTGTGAAAAAATATCAGATGTATTTTGAAAACCTAACTGGATCGCTCTGGTCTACTGTTTAGTTTCCTCTGGATAGAATTCGAGTGGACTAGTGAGGCATGACTTATTGCTTCTCAATCACACTGATTATTGATGCCTCAGAGTTCTTTAGATGGACACCAGTAGTATTCGTAAAAAGCTCTGGAACCTTGTCACCACCTTTTATGTCTTTCATCAATATTTGGTTGCAGTTGCAGTTCCTTTATTTACAAAATTCCTAAAAATAATTGCCACACCCATGGCTAGTTCCGGTCTCATTTCCTTGAGGATTTTATGCTGTCAGCGTACTTCAGATATTCGAGGGTTTCTTGTTTACATGCTGCCCTGATTTGTGCATGTGTTATAGATTCCTAAGTTAAAATAACTGGATTGAGAATTTATCTATAGTCTTCTTTTCCTTGAGTGGTGTAATCTGAAAAATTATTTAACACCTCTGCCATCTGCTGATCATCTATAATGTTTCTACTCCATTTATCCCTTTGAGGATTTTTGTCCATGGTTTACAAATAACTTTGAATCTCTAAAGCTCCTATCTATTGCCATCCCATCTCTTGTAATACTCATTTAGCTATTCTCACTACATTGTGTTTCCTTGTATCTTTTAAAGTATTTCTGTTTGGCCTATAGATTTATTTTGACCTTTTTTATTCAACCGCTGTGTTCTCAAGCTTACTCTATTTTTCTTTATTTCTCACAGAAATTTATATCCTTTCCAGTGCATCGCAAATGCTCTTAAAAGCATTTTTTCCCCCTGTTTTTTATTTTAATTCCACTTCCCACATTATTCTCCCTGGAACTCTCTCGTGACACCAACACATGTTCTTCTGAATCCTTGCACAAGCCCATTGTTACTTTTGATATTACAATACTGTATAAAAATGGACTTTACAATGATAACTAGAACTCAAGAGTTCAATTTCCCTAGGAATTGGATTACTAAATACTAAATCAATGTAACTTCACTAGTTAAATTAATAATCCTGCGTGGTTCTCTGATACGGTCTATCAATAGCTTGTATTTAACCTGTTCCTTTCTTTCCATTCTTTATGTGACCATTTTACCTCTCGACACTGACATTCTCTAGCTTTGTGTTTCTTTTTAAAGTTAATTTTATTGCTACAAATTTGGGAACTCTTCAGTAACTCTTCCCTTCCTGACCCTCTGACTGTTCTCTCACTGGTAAGTGGCTGGTGACATCTTGACAATCCAGTGCTAAATCAAG